AAAACATAAAATAAAAACCAAGCTGATCAACCGACTAAACGTCTGAATTAGTCAAATTTCTCTGCCTGAAATTTTGTTTAAAAAATAAATGTGAAATTATAATTTAAAAATCTTTAAAATATTTTTAAATTTTTGGAAATATTTATTCACAAATTTGTTTTACTTTTTAGGTGTATTGACATATTTATTAATTTATTGTTATTTTGTTATGACACCCCCTCAAAATTTGAATGGATTGCATAATTCACAAGGGCACAGTAGGTATGGTATGATAATAAATTGTAGCTCGGCGCAGTGATACGTCCAACATTTGTCAGTGATGCTCCCCAATGACTTGAACAGATGTAATAATTTGGATACTTTGTTTTTTCCTCAGATGCTATGTGACTTTGTGCAGCGATGCAGTGATGCATCTGACTTTGTGCAGCGATGTAGTGATGCAGTGATGCATGTCACTTTATTCAGTGATGCAGTGATGCAGTAATGCATGTAACTTTCTGACTTTGCGACCACATGGCACATCAATACGACCACATGGCAATAGTGTTGATAAACAATTATGTGATGGACTGAAGGAGTAAAGTGTAATTTACCGAATATAAAAAGAAGCAAAAAATGCAAAGCATGAGAAAATGGGATGACTGTGAAGTTCATTAAGTGAAAATAAGATAAAATATAGGCTGTTTATGAATAATATTACTTTAAAACAAAGAAAATTTAAGCATTTAATTTCATTTATAATTTGTTGAAAACACCAATTTGTACTGAAATCGTCAATTTCAAGCGACTACTTACTGTATTAAAAAAGTAAGCATTTCAAAATAGTTTCATGTGGCGATGTGACAACTCACTGCATGTTGTTTTATTTGACAACTCACTGCTCCAATATGAAGGGATTGCATTGTCATCCTCTGGCCTACAATTATGATTTTATCTGACAACCACGTCCGTGACTACATCACAGGTACACAAAGTCACGGGTACTCAGGATTGCATGAAATTAAAAGCTAAAAAATAATATCACGGGTATCACTTCTTCCATAGTGCCCGAGCATGCATTATCGTCACTAGATCATCTCTAGTTAACCCTCAGTATGATGTCTATAAATAGCGACACCCCTAGTATGATGTTTGTTCAAGTCATAACAATAGTAATATATCTACAATTACTATTATTATTTGTTTGTTTATTTTATGACCAATGTCTTCAAGAGGTGCAGGAAGTTCACGCCAGCAAAGAAATCCGAAAGTGTGGCTGCTACCTCTATTTACTTATAACTACAAGAGCGAAAAGTACTCGAGTCCGAAGGATTATTATGCTGGTATCCGAGCAGAATGGGCGTTCAGGGTAACGGAGTAAGAAGGATTGTTTAATGATCTACGTAACTTTGGGGCACCGGTACCTCATCGTCGTTCATTGACCATGGCTAGACGAAATGTGAGTGACTATAAAAAAACAGTTAGCAGAATTAAGAAGGAGAACAATAGAATGTTAATGCGGAGATGTCGACATTTCATGCTTCAGCTAGCCACCGAAATGGCAGAAGCAAGCAACAAAGATTTGACAGTGATTGAGCGAAATAATGTCTTAAACAATGAAAAATATCTCTCTACCTACTACATGTCAGATGAGGAATGAGAAATCAAACACCTTTATCTTTCATATATGTTTCTATGTTGTCTCATATCTTCGTTACTGCAGTGTAAGACAATGTTGTTGTTCATCTAACGTACGGATGTATTTCAAGTATTTGTTTTATGAACCTGAAGTTTATGACATAACTACATTTATAACTGCACATTTATTAGTTCATGACTTTCTTTATTGAATTGCAATGAGTTAATGAATGTTCTGGATTAATGAATGGATTAATGTATGTTGAATTATGTGAATACTTAAAACACATAAAACAGAACAGGTAGCTCGGTGAAAAGCTTCCCTTAACTGGGCTCGTGAAATAGAGATCATGTACGTAAAGAATTTCAATCTCCATGGGGAAAGAAGAAAGAGTCGCCTTCCAATTCCTGGAAGTCCAGTCAAAATGATGACTCTAGTAACGAATGGGGGGTTGACAAATAACTAAACTTGGGGGGCTGGACAAACAAGCTCAAAGCCAAGTGGTTGGGCCAGTTGGGGGACTAATAAAGTTCATATAAATGAACTACCGCATTCAACAACATAAAACAAAACAGGTAGCTCAGTGAAAAGCTTCCCTTAACTGGGGCTTATGAAATAGGGATCCTGTACGTAAAGAATTTCAATCTCCATCAAAAAAAAAGAAAGAATTGCCTTCCAATTCCTGGAAGTCCAGTCAAAATGATGACTCTTTTGCTCATTTTTTTTATTACAGTGACAACCTCATTTCTTATTAATATATGTGGGATTCTCAATTCAGAAAGTCACATGGCAATAGTGAATTCACTGATTTACCTTACAGTGAGCATGCCTTTACTTTGTTGGTATATGCAAACAATGTTGTCAAGTCACGTGACTTGGTATACAATATTTCCTTTTCTCTATTTTTTCATTCTAGTGACAACTCATACCTTGTTCGTATATATGGGATTGTCATGCAGGGCCATCTTTCTAAAGCTGTTCATAACCAACTATATAAACGACTAAAGGTGAAGACACAACCTTACAACTCATTTCGCCCTACGAAATTATCATTCATTTGTTTTAAAAAATTAGCATGACTACATGGTTCATGGGAGGGAGTGGGAATCGCAGAGGTGGTAGGAACTTGCAAAGGGGTGACAGTTCACGACGAGGAAGGGGAAGGGGAAGTAGTGATGCTAAAGATGAAACACCATTTACTTTGTTAGATGCCTCTTGTGCTTATCATGATAGGTTTGGGAAGCGACATTTTGTCATACCCAAGTACTATTGAGATCCATGTGGTTTGGTGGAGAAACCATCAGATAATCAAACATGATATGGTTTAGCAAACGCTAGACTTCTGAAGTGGCCCGCACTATTTATAGAGCGAGTCCAAATGGAAAGATTATGTCAGAAAAATCGATTGAAGGTGCCAAAAGCACGTTCTGTTGAGATCTAAAAGGAAGATCCTGATAATGTTGATCGACTATGTGAAAGACTATAACGTGAGAATTCTCAAATGCGCCGTAGGTTAGCCCACGATATGCAGCTATACATAGTTAAGAAGGATGCCCAGAAGAACAAAACAGAACCAAATGATGAGGCTAACAAGGGTATCATGGAGGATCCTGAGCTTGTCTCTAACGCTGAGCTTTCGGATTATTCAGACTCTGAGCCACCTACCGATTTAAGCGCGAATTAGGTGTTAATGTCTACACTTCGGCAATATTAAGTCATGCATTAATATGTAATGTCTGTGTTAGAGTAAGTGTTTCCGTAATGAGTTTGTCAGATTGTCTGGCTAATATTTTTCTGTCTAACTGTTATGTTTATCTATGTATTGTGTGTTCAGTTCATGGTGTCCACAATGTATTGTTGTCCGAGACTTATGTCTGTACTACCTATGTATTTTTGTGGGAGGCTTATGTGTTTTTTCCTCAAGGTTTTATGAATTACATTATCACCTTCTAACCTAAAACAAAGACAACAGGAAAAAAAAATTATTTACATGAAAACGGCTTTAGTAAAACGAAAAGAAATTTATGAATTACATTATCACCTTCTAACCCAAAACAAAAACAACAGAAAAAAAAATTATTTACATGAAAACGGCTTTAGTAAAGCCAAAACAAATTTTTCAATAACACATTCTAACCCAAAACAAAGACAAGAGAAAAAAATAAAAAATAAAAAACTTTACATGAAAACGGTTTTAATAAAGCGAAAAGAAATTTATAAATTACATTATCACCTTCTAACCTAAAACAAAGATAAAAGAAAAAATATATATATTTAAATGAAAACGGCTTTATTAAAGCCCAAACAAATTGCTGAATAACACCTTCTAACCCAAAACAAAGAAAAAATGAAATAAAATAAAAATTTACATTAAAACGGCTTTACTAAATCTCAAAAAATTTATGAATTACATTATTACCTTCTAACCCAAAACAAACACAAGAAAAAACAAAATAAATTTACTTTAGTCAAGCAAAAAAAAAAAAATGCTGAATTACACATTCTAACCCAAAATAAAGACAAAAGAAAAGAAAAAAAAAATTAACATGAGAACGGTTTTAATAAAACAATTTTAACAAAAAAAATTATTCTGAAATACATTATCACCAAAACAATGATAACAGAAACCAAAAAAAAAAAATTTCTTCTTCAGAGTTTAGTTAAATTGAAACTAAAAAAAAAATTTGCTAAAAAAGTATGGTTCAGAATCGCGCTTTCAGAAGAAAAAAAATTTAGGCTAAAAACGTGGTTCATAACCACAAGTTCAGAAGAAATTTTTTTGGCAAAAAAGCGTGGTTTGAAATAGCGAGTTCAGAAGAATTTTTTTTTTCATAAAAGTGTGATTTATAACAGCGAATTCAGAACAAATTTTTTTTGGGATAAAATCGTGGTTTGTAACAGCGAGTTCAGAAGAAAAAAAAAAAAATTAAAAGCGCGTTTTGTAACCGCGATTTCTTAATCAAAAACACTTTTTGTAACTACGATTTTAAGACTTCTCCAATTTTACGCGAGACAAGCGTATATATGTTGAAATCGTAATTGTGAACCACGAATTAGCTTATTTTAAAAACTCTTTTAAAACTGAGCTTAGTTTAGGAATTGATTTAACTAGTGGGTGGCACACACGATGTGTGTGCAATTTAAATAAGTAGGAATAAAAAAAAATAATAATGAAATTAATATTATAATGTGTACTTAGCTTAAGTGGTATGACTCCTCATACTTAAACCCATGGTCATGGATTCAAGCCTTGCCCAACGGAGAGTAAAGCTTCATGACATGAGGAGAGTAAAGTTTCATGACACCATAAATTGTGTTCACTTTATAATAGTATAGATAAATTGATATTTTGGCTTATTTAGGGATATGGCCGTGATTCCGTCAACTCCCTCCCACGTCCAGCCAAAGTCCAGCTGACTCAACTCCCACTCACAACTACTGAACCATAAACACCACAACACACCACACAGAACCATAACCAGATCTTACAGAAAAGATGCAGGGTTCATCAGCGTCATCACTTTCAGCCCAACAATTATTCCTTCTTTCAATCATTCTCAGTAAACTCAATCAAATATTTTTTATATTTTTCTCTGAACTTTCCTATCTGCCAAACAAACCATTTTAATGAAGTTTTTCTATCAATCACTCGAACTTTCCCAGGTTTTCTGAAATTTGGAGTTACTCAAGATGGATTCTGTTCTGCACCGACGTCAATCATCAAACCCGAATCCAACTCACAACCTCTCTACTGGAAAGTCACGAACCCCACTCTTTCTCCTTCTCATTTACAAGGTCAGTCCTTTTTCTAACTAGGAAGAAGATTTCTCTGTTTGGTAGCCAAGAAAATAAAAAAGGGAATTTTTTTTGCTATTTATGTTTTGCATTGCTCTGGGTTTTGGTAGCATTTCATTTGAGTCATCAATGTTGAGAAGAAGAGTTTCAGGTATATATAGGATTGCTATTTTCTTTAAAGTGAAAAGTTCTTGAATTTCACTCAGTTAACATGTCATTGCAAATTTGCAATGTTTAATTCTGATATAACGAGTAAAATCACAAGAACAAAAACCCAAATAAATAAAAGGCAACAATTACAAAAATATTGAAAAAAAAAGTGAATTTGAGTCTGTACTATTAATAAAGATAGATGGTCACATTAGGGTTTCGTTTCAGTTTACTTCAGATAATGAGAGATGGAAAATATAAAGTACAAGAATTTAATTTATTTCCTCTCACTATCGTTGTGTGGAAACGTAATGGAGTATAAAGCATCTTCAGCTTAGGGGTAACTGATGAATGCCATTGATCAATTTGCTACTTGTGTTTTAGAGAAACATGGATTTATCGAAGCTAATTTGTTTTTTTTTTTTTTGAGGCAGATTTGCCTGGGTTTACTCGCAGTGTTTATAAAAGAGATCATGCTTTAATTACACCTGAAAGTCATGTGTTCAGCCCTTTACCTGATTGGTATATTCTATTACAATTCAGCATTTTGATACATGTTTTGGATATTGTGGACTTGGTTAATTGGATTGATATAATAGGACGAATACATTGGGAGCATATCTTATCTCACCTGCGGCGGGGGCACATTTTGTTATGTACCTGGCAAAGATGCAAGGTGTGGTTGAGTGATCTGACTATTTTTAGTTTTGCATTTATGCTATGTTTGGTTCATTGGAGTGTGTTGGAATGGAATGGTTGTTCCACCAATATATCCATTCTCATGTTTAATTCACTAAAAAGAGTTATGAAAAATATATTGCAAATGGAATCATCACTCATCATTGTAATGGACTGGTCATTCCATAAGGAGGCTAAGGAATTTCCATTCCATTCCAATCCACCTTCATTCCAATGAACCAATCACAACCTTAAAGTTGAGGTATTCCTATCCTACACTGTTGTCATGCTATGATAGAAGTTGATTTGTTCTTGATGATATAATGCATTTAGTTTTACAAGTTACAGTTGGCTGCCAAATTCACTGTTTTATGATGATGATTTGTGTTTTTTATTTTAATTATCCATTTTTGGTTGCAGAAAATTCAAGATCAGGGCTGCCTCCACGCGATGTAGAGAGGTGTCAATGTTTCCTGAGACTGCTTGGAAAATTGTTCTTCATGAATTGATTTTAGTATATCTTAAGGAAAATGAGTGGAAGCACTAATTAGTGCCACCACTAATGATGTGGCAGTGGGTTTTTTAAAAAAAATAGATGCCACATCATTAGTGGTTGTTTTAGAGCACCACTTTTAGTGGTCTCTATCATTGTTGATATCTTAATATGTAAACAATGTCTAAAGCCACTATTGTCAGGTTATACTATGAATTGGACCTAATTCATGTTGTCCAATTTACGTTTAGGTTCGTATTTGTGGTTCAGGGTACTGTGACACTCACCAATGTGTCAGGAGTTAGCCACAAACTGATAGTAAGAGAGCTGAACTAATCTTTTTTTTCATGCACTGTTGCTCATAGTTCGGAATATTATGTTTACATACTGGCCTATCTCTTTTAATGTAAGAGGGAATGAGATGCTTTTATTTTCACATCAGCAGTTTTATTGTCAGATAATGTGTTTTCACAATATATAATGTGTTACATGCTACCTAATGTAATTCAGAAGTTAGTACTAAAATAATTTACAGTACACATTGTTACTAACGATAATTTTTAAATTTGGCTTTTTTGCTAAGTGATGGATGCTGGTTTTGCATGTATGCTTGCCTAAATTTTCAATTTATTGTTTGAGATTATCAGTTGGGCATATGTTGATATTTGTAATGATTGTTGTACTTCAGGTTGTAAATTTTATAGAGTTACTAATGCCAAAATTTTTTATTATGATTAATGTCTTTCGAACTGAATTTATAGATGGTCCTGTCAATAAAAGCTTTAGAAATTTTGATGCTGTTTATCTTTTAAATGTAGGTGGATTCATATGCCTATCTACCTTCAAATTTAGAACATTCTGTCAAGTGTGATGCATCTGCTACTCTTGTTGTATTTGAAAGAAGGTTATTTTTCCCCTTACTCTAAGAATGGGTCAATGGTTTCTATGACATTCTTGTTAATCTTTTCTCGTCTTCATGGTGTGTTGGCACTGGATTCACTTAGAATGCCCTTACCTGGCGTCTATCAATGTGATCAAATATCAATGTTTCTAGGACCATAATTGCTGTTTCGAGGTTTAGTAACTGGTTCTTTTGTTACTTTTCCTCTTAGGCATGCTTACCTGGAAAATTATATCCCTGACCAGATTGTTAGTTCGACAGACAAGCAACCGGTTCTTGAAACTCCTGGTGAGGTAAGTTGTCAATTATTTATTATTCTACGAGGTTCTAAATAATAGTTCTTAATTAGAAAAATAAAAGGTCCATTGTTCCGGAAATTCTTTCAGTTTTGGAAAAAAGAAAAAAGGAAAAGGAGAGAAATTGGAAAGGGCATAGTTTACTCCTTTTATTTATTTATTTAAAAATTGCTATTGTTTGGTGCAATGAAGCACATATCCCTCTTTGAATACATGTCAAACTCGTTGAAGGAAGTAACACATGATGGATACGTTGGGGACATACATTATTTATTTATTTATTTTTATCTTTTTCCATCAGTGTAGCATAACCAAGGTTGATGAATTTGATAAGGATAAACGTTTGACATAGAATATGTTGGAAAATGGCTTTAGAAAAAACCTTATTTTTTGCTAACTTTGAGGATTAATTAAAGTGGGACCTAAGCGTTATTTTTAACGTTTCTAATTGGGTTTATGTTTAATGCTGTGTAGTGAATAAATTCGTGTATTTGGCTGCTCAAAACCATTTTCGGGTGAATGAGAATTTAACGTGTGTTTTCGGGTTCGTGGAACTAGCTTTTGATGGGTTTCCTAAACATTTGTGAAATGTACTTGTCACACATTGGAAAGGCTTGAGGTTTTGAATGAGTTTATATACCTTAACTTGGGATACTTGGGATGGGCCCCAAGGGGTACCCAAGTTTGTGAAAGGGTCAGGTTATGGGTGAAGTGGGCTAGACCCATTGGACCCAATATAAAAACCACACGCACGCGTGCCGCCGTCGTCTGCCCGGTCGGTCAGGCAGGTTGGGTTGGGCTTGTCTGGCCCAATACTTATCTTTTTGGGCGAAATACATTTGAACTTTATTTATTTATTTATATTTTTGGTTTCAAAAATCAAAATAAATGGTCCAAATTTTTTCCTTTCACCCAAACAGTTCCTAACCCACCCGAATAGGTTTGAAATTGTTTAATCAGACAGATCTGGAACTGTCCAAACAGTTCAAACAGATTTTCTATCTGTTGGCACCTGTTCAAACAGCCACCAACCTGTCTATATAATGTCTGCTCCAGCAATTCATTTTGTATCAAATTTTTTTTTTTCCAGACTTCTTTCCTTTCTTCTTCTGTTCGTCCTCTGTTACTCCTGCATCTGTTTCTGCATTTATTTTTTAGGAAAAGAAAGAGAAAGAGTTACAACATTGTTTGGTTCACTAGACTTGATTTTATAGTGCTGTAAAATCAAGTGTTAGTCGTTGCATCCTGGGAAGTAGACGTCGGTTAAAACTCGAAGCACCGGAGCGAGGGCAAAATATACTTTAAGGAGATTGTGTCCAATACAAGCCTCAACATTATTTTCTGTAAGCATTTAATTCAGGAGATAATTTATATAATTATTTTATTTTATTATTTATTTTAATTACACATGTTTACACACACATCCTTTGTGGAAATAACAATCTTAAAGTAGATTTTCTATTTTTTATTTAATTGTGTAAGATAGACAAATATTTTGTTTCGGGAAATTAAATAGTAATCATATACTGTTTAATTTCTTAAATAGTAGGAATATACTGTTTAATGATTTATTTGATAAATAGTAGTAATATACTGTTTATCATTGTAATTTTGTTACAAAATATTTTTTTCTGTATATTTTGTGTGTGATTTCTTGTGTATAAATTTGTGATTGGTACATTTTTATTTTGTCAAAAATATGACAACTAACAGTACTGAGACCTTTAGTACTCCGACCCCCACACCTGTTGTGCCAGTGATGACTCCGGCAGTACCAGTAAATCATGGGGAGAAGCCAGAAAAATTCAATAGAAATGATTTTAAAAGATGGTAACAAAAAATGATGTTTTATCTTACGACATTGAATTTGGCTCGCTGCACTCATGAAAAGGCACCAGCACCGGCACTGAACGAGGTTGAAACTAACCGACAAGTGATTGTCGCAGTCGATGCATGGAAACATGGTGATTTTCTATGTCGGAATTATATCCTCAATGGGTTGGACAATACACTGTATAATGTATATAGTGTTACAAGCATTGCTAAAAAACTGTGGGAATCTCTAGATCATATGTATAAAACAGAGGACGTCGGCATAAAGAAATTTGTTGTCGGCCGTTTTCTAGATTTTAAAATGATGGATTCCAAGACGGTTATTAGCCAGGTTCAAGATCTCTAATTAATTCTCTATGACATACATGCGGAAGGGATGGTTCTTAGTGAATCTTTCCAGGTTGCGACAACATTTAAAAATTGCTACCATCTTGGAAAGAATTCAAGAATTATCTAAAGCATAAGAGCAAGGAGATGAAATTTGAGGAATTGATTGTGTGACTCAGGATTGAGGAGGACAACCGTGGTTCGAACAAGAAGTCAGGAAATGCCATGCAGGCTAAAGCAAATGTTGTGGAACATGAACATGGGTCAAAGTTCAACAACAAGAAGCGGAAGCATGTTGGCAATGGTCCCAAACAAGGATCCACTAGTAAGATCAAAGGGATCAACAACGGGCTCAACAAAAGGTTCAAAGGCAAGTGTTTTGTGTGCGGCAAAGATGGGCATCGCGCTAAGGATTGTCACGTTCGCAAGGACGGAGGGAGTTCAAGCAAAAAAGCAGCACAAGCCAACATAGCCGAGGATTTTTATCTTTCCGATGGAGTGGCAGACATCAATCTTGTTGCAATTGTCTCTGAAGGAAACTTGGTGGGCAATCCCAAGAAATGGTGGGTGGATACTAGAGCAACCCGCCATGTCTGTGCAGATAAGAAGATGTTCACAACCTACAAAGTGGTGGAAAGTGGGGAACAACTTTTTATGAGAAACTCCTCCACTTCAACTGTAGAAGGACAAGGAAAGATTGTGCTGAAAATGACCTTGGGAAAATAACTCACTGTTAACAATGTACTTCATGTGCCAGAGATTCGCAAGAATTTGATTTCTGGGTCATTGTTGATCAAGAATGGGTTTTAAATTAGTCTTTGTATCTAATAAAGTTGACTCTCCAAGAGTGGAATGTATGTGGGGCGAGATCACATGAGTGATGGGCTTTTTAAGCTCAATGTAAATACTGTTGTACCTAATTTGGCTTTTTATAATAAGAACACATCTTCTGTTTATATTGCTGAGTCTTCTTTTTTATAGCATGGTAGATTATGACATGTTAATTTTAATTCTTTGCGTAGATTTGTTGTTTTAGAATGTTTACCAAACTTAAAATTTGATCCTAATCATAAATGTGAGGTTTGTGTTGAGGCAAAACTGACTAAGGCATCATTTAATAAAGTTGAAAGAAGTACTGAACCTCTAAGTCTAATTCATACAGATATCTGTGATTTAAAATTTTATTCAAACTAGAGGAGGTAAGAAATACTTTATTACTTTTATTGATAATTGCACTCGATATTACTATGTTTACTTTTTGAGAAGTAAAGATGAAGCCATAGAAGCTTTTAGACAATATAAACTTGAGGTTGAAAATCAACTTGGTAAAACTATTAAGATAGTGAGGAGTGACAGAGGTGGTGAGTATAATGCACCATTTGAAAAATTTGGTTCTGAACATGGTATAATTCATCAAACCACTGCACCCTATTCTCCTCAGTCAAATGGAGTTGCTGAGAGAAAAAATCGAATCCTTAAAAGAATCAAATCCTTAAAGAGATAATGAATGCGATGTTGATTAGTTCAGGGTTATCTTAGAACTTGTGGAGGAGGCAATTTTGTCTGCTAACTTTATCCTTAACAGGGTACCCCACAAGAAAGTTAATCAAACACCTTATGAAGGATGGAAAGGTCGACGACCTACGTACAATTACCTCAAAGTGTGGGGGTGTTTGACCAAGGTGGTAGTCCCTAGTCCCAAAACGACTAAGATATGACCAAAGACCGTTGGTTGTGTGTTCATTGGTTATGCCAATAATAGTAGTGCATATAGATTTTTAATTCATAGATTTGAAAATCCGAAAGAAATGCGTCGTTTTTTAACACATTTTTCCATGCAAGGAAACTGAAGAGAAAAGTACAAATAAAAGAACTTTTGATACTGCTATGGGTAGCAGTGAAGACCACAATGATAATGAATCAGATAAACCTAGACGTAGCAAGAGGGCTAGGATTTCTAAATCATTTGGTCCAAATTTTTTGACATACCTGTTAGAAAACGAGCCTCAAAACTTCAAGGAAGCAATGTCAAGTCCTAAAGCTCCATTGTGGAGAGAAGTTGTGAATAGTGAAATTGAATCAATACTGCAAAATCATGCTTGGGAACTGGTGGATCTTCCACCAAGGTGTAAACCTCTTGGATATAAGTGAATATTCAAAAGAAAAATGAAAGCAGATAGTTCAATAGATAAATACAAGGCTAGGCTTGTTGTTAAGGGATACAGGCAGAAGGAAGACCTTGATTATTTTGACACCTATTCACCAGTGACAAGAATAACATCTATTCACATGTTGATTGCGATTGCAGCTTTGTATAATTTGGAAATACATCAAATGGATGTTAAAACAACTTTTTTGAATGGCGAGTTAGATGAGGAAATCCATGTGGAACAACTGGAAGGGTTTCAAGTTCCCGGCCAAGAGAAAAAGGTTTGTAAACTTGTCAAATCCCTTTATGGATTAAAACAAGCTCCGAAACAATGGTATGAAAAATTTGATCACGCTATGCTTTCGGATGGTTTTAAGATAAACGAATGTGACAAATGCGTCTATGTTAAAAGCACAGACAAAGGCTATGTCATAGTTTGTCTTTATGTGAATGACATGCTTATTATTGGAAGCAATAATGACAAGATTAAATCCACAAAGAAAATGTTGAACAAAAAGTTTGACATGAAAAATCTGGGAGTAGCAGATGTAATTCTAGGAGTAAAAATTACTAGAACATCTGAAAGATATGCTTTATTTCAGTCTCACTATGTTGAGAAGATTTTGGAAAAATTTGAAAAGCATGACGATCGTCCTGCTAAAACACTTGTTGACGTTAGTCTTCATTT